GAAAAGAACCTGAAAAGTAGGGGCCCTATACCTTTCTACTACGAATCCCTATATATGGTCTTTGAACCCTAAACCCTTTTAGGGCTCTTTTCGTCCTTAAGGACCCTAAACCCCTGGCCGAAACCTAAACCCTGCACCGAACAACTTATGGTTCCTTCAACCCCACATAACCCAGAGACTCCAATACCCCTAAAGTAAGGAATATACCTTAAATTACGGTAGGATCCCTCATATGATTTAAGGTATATTCCTAAACCCTAAACCCTAAACCCTAAACCCTATATTCCCTAATTATGGGGTATTAGAGTCTTTGGAGCCGATAGAAGCCCCGAGCTCGCAGCCCTGGCGCGGGGTGTCCTAAGCACCTACATCGTAGAGTGTAGGTTTTCGATAATTGGGAGTTTCCGAAAATAGGGGGTACCTTATTTTGGGGTCCTTATAATAGGGACCCTACTATTTGGGGTACTATATTAAGGTCCCCTATTTTCGGAAACCCCTAATTGGGGTTACTATTATGCAAGTATCGCCCATGTTGGTACTTAGGACCCTCTGGGTAAGTATCCATAACCCGGTAACCCATTGTACAGGAAACTAGGCTCTTCCGGGGTCCTATGTTGGGCTATTGAGTCCGCTTTAGGTAACCAAAACCACAAGTAATAGTTTACGGTTTCGGGAAGTTTAGGTTTAGGGGTAAGGAGGTCCTCGAGTGACGGGGGCACTGTCAGTGGCGGTCGAAAAGGGACTCAAACGTGATTCTTATTGGGTTGAATGAGTTCTAGGGGTTTCCCGGAACTCAGGAATATGCGTTTTGAGGGTTTCAACAGTACTAGGTGAGGACCTGCAGCCCTGCGATCGATCTGAGTTGAAATCTAACTGTTTGAACGGCTTTGGGGTTTAGGCTCTATATGGAAGAGAGCCCTGAGACCTTTGATGACAACGGTCTAAGTCCTGTAAACCTGTGGCCGCAAGTTTCCCAAGTTTCGAACGGTGCGGTCGGAATACTTTGTAGTACTCTCTCCTTCTAATTAGTTCCCACATTGTTGACTTCAAGCCTAAATAAAATACCCAGAACTTTCTTCTAGTTGTTGAGGACCCTATAACAAGCTCCGAAGTAAAACTTCGGCAGCCACCGCACAGTACTCTAGCACGCTGTCCACCATTGGCATTGCGTAGACTAGAACGGTTTAGGGTTTAGGGTTTCCTATAGAAGTCTGGATAGCATAACGGGCCCTAATCATTAGACTGGCTTAGACTAGGGGCGCTGGGCTATACTATGGTTTACATTGACATACCGATGCCACTCATGACAGTATCTCAAAAGTTGCCCCTCCCAAAAAACCCTAAACCCTAAACCGTTAAAAACAAAAGGCGCTGGAAAAGCCAAGCCCCTGAAGGACTCTAAAGCCTGAACCCTACTTCCCCCAAAAGTCAGAGTCAGATTAAGAAAGCCAAGCCCCGGAAAATTATGGTCCCTTTTGGGGTGCC